ATCGAACACCCGTCACCTCGAAAAACGTGAAAAATCTGACTATCTCAGAATTCGACGAAATTTGTCTGGATAACTAGATTTCATGAGACAAATCCAACGGTGAGATTCGTTTCATCATCCGAGGTCTATAAAAATACCAATTTTTTTTTAACCCGCACTATAATGGCAAATTATCATTTTGCCATTTTTTTTCAGAAAAAGTTAAAATTTTTGCTGGGTTTCACAAAGTCAGAGTTCGAATATTTGCTTTCCAACTCCGACATAGTCGAAGCCTAGGCTTAGGTAAGAGTTGTATTCATATAAGACATACATATCAATTTTTGACCCTTTTCAACTTAATGAGCTTTTATTTATGAGATATGATGTATTGCCTTACCTTTACTTATATATTCCTGTATACTTGTGAATCGAGTGTCACTGACGGTTGACTTCAATATGACTATTTGGTAAATAATAGTATTATTTGATACTGACCTTTTTTATTTGCAATAAAAACTTTTTGACATTGGGTTTTTATAAATTTTTTTTGTGGGCCGTTTAGATTTTGCCGTAGGAGTTCGTCGAGGTAAGTTTCTTGGGAAATTTCATATGAAGAGTTTGGCGTGTTGGTGGAGAAAGAGTAATTTTATCAAAACTGAATTGGACCAACTGATTCAATCAATAAACTAGTGAACCGGATTCTAAGCCCGTCCGGTTCTAAAATTGAACTGCTTAAATAATTAAATCGCTAAAAATCCAGTCGAACCGAGCAATTTTTTATTAAACTAGAGTACACCGGACAGTTAAACTCATTCTAAGCTGGTCACCATTTGATTTGGAATAAAATATTAAGCTTGTTAGCCAGCAAGTGGCTATTAAGCCAACGCCACACTGTGACAAGAAGTCGACCTTTGGTTTGCCTTTATAGAAACTTAGCGCTTCTTTGTTGCAATGGTTTCCGATGTTGGATTTGTGTTATAGTAGTGTACGATCATCCTCTTATTGCTTTATAGTTTTCTTTCAATATTTTTTATTGTTTTTTGTCATCATAATATTACTACTTACGTAAATTTGCAATTTCTATTTGTGGATTGTTGATGTTATATTAGATTTTTTAAATTATCTACAAAAATAGGTGATTTATGATTTTTTTTGTTCTTATTTGATCATAAAAATGTTATTTTTGTACCTATTCAATTTTTTGGTATAATCATCATTATTAATAATATATTTTATTTTTTTGTGATGCAACCAGTTTGACCAATTGACTCAACAGCTGAACTAGTGAATCATTGACCCGGTCCCTCTGCTAGTTTAATGTTTAGTCCAGTTCTAATATCACTAGGAGAAAGGACTTAAATTATTGGGACCTACAAAGACATGTGGTATCTACTGTGTGTCTTGGGTAAAAAAAAAATTGATATAAATTTTGAGAGCATAGCATTAGCTCATCTTCAATGGAAATTCAAAATTTTACTCAAATTTGAATAAAAAAAAAAGATAAAAAAACTTAATTTGGTATAGACCTTTCCAATTAAAAAACTCAAATTTAAAGGAAGAGAAACTCAAATTTACATGAGTATAAATTTAAATTTAAATAAGAGTAAAATATGACAANCTCCAAAATCCTCCCTTTGAATCTTCGGTGAAAATCTTTGTTTTTGGTACCCACGCGTAGCTCTCGTCACGTAGATCGACTTTAATTCTTGGCTCGACGAATTCCGACCGACGGAACTCCGAGAATCGGCGAAAGAAAGCTTGAAGAATTATATTTTTTTCTTCTTTGCTCTTGGGTCTGATCCAGCCGGCCAAATGAAGAGAAAATATCTGATTTTTCAGATATTTGCTCACTTTTATACTTTTTAAACACTTGGCCCTCGTCGCGCCAAGTGTCGTCCTTTGTCCGGGTCCGTTTTTACCCCAAAATGATTAAATTTCGTACCGATTTAAGCTCAAAATATTTTATATGAACTTTATTTAAAATATTTTTCAAATTTTAAATTTTTTATAAAACTTTCGTTTTTAGGGGTCATCGAACACCCTTCACCTCGAAAAACGTGAAAAATCTGACTATCTCAGAATTCGACGAAATTTGTCTGGATAACTAGATTTTATGAGACAAATCCAACGGTGAGATTCGTTTCATCATCCGAGGTCTATAAAAATACCAATTTGTTTTTAACCCGCACTATAATGGTAAATTATCATTTTGCCATTTTTTTTCAGAAAAAGTTAAAATTTTTCCCGGATTTCACAAAGTCAGAGTTCGAATATTTGCTTTCCAACTCCGACAGAGTCGAAGCCTAGGCTTAGGTAAGAGTTGTATTCATATAAGACATACATATCAATTTTTGACCCTTTTCAACTTAATGAGCTTTTATTTATGAGATATGATGTATTGCCTTACCTTTACTTATATATTCCTGTATACTTGTGAATCGAGTGTAACTGACGGTTGACTTCAATATGACTATTTGGTAAATAATAGTATTATTTGATACTGACCTTTTTTATTTGCAATAAAAACTTTTTGACATTGGGTTTTTATCAATTGTTTTTGTGGGCCGTTTAGATTTTGCCGTAGGAGTTTCATCGAGGTAAGTTTCTTGGGAAATTTCATATGAAGAGTTTGGCGTGTTGGTGGAGAAAGAGTAATTTTATCAAAACTAAATTGGACCAACTGATTCAATCAATAAACTAGTGAACCGGATTCTAAGCCCGTCCGGTTCTAAAATTGAACTGCTTAAATAATTAAATCGCTAAAAATCCAGTCGAACCGAGCAATTTTTTATTAAACTAGAGTACACCGGACAGTTAAACTCATTCTAAGCTGGTCACCATTTGATTTGGAATAAAATATTAAGCTTGTTAGCTAGCAAGTGGCTATTAAGCCAACGCCACTCTATGACAAGAAGTCGGCCTTTGGTTTGCCTTTATAGAAACTTAGCGCTTCTTTGTTGCAATGGTTTCCGATGTTGGATTTGTGTTATAGTAGTGTATGATCATCCTCTTATTGCTTTATAGTTTTCTTTCAATATTTTTTATTGTTTTTTGTCATCATAATATTACTACTTACGTAAATTTGCAATTTCTATTTGTGGATTGTTGATGTTATATTAGATTTTTTAAATTATCTACAAAAATAGGTGATTTATGATTTTTTTTGTTCTTATTTGATCATAAAAATGTTATTTTTGTACCTATTCAATTTTTTTGGTATACTCATCATTATTAATAATATATTTTATTTTTTTGTGATGCAACCAGTTTGACCAATTGTCTCAACAGCTGAACTAGTGAATCATTGACCCGGTCCCTCTACTAGTTTAATGTTTAGTCCGGTTCTAATATCACTAGGAGAAAGGACTTAAATTATTGGGACCTACAAAGACATGTGGTATCTACTGTGTGTCTTGGGTAAAAAAAAAATTGATATAAATTTTGAGAGCATAGCATTAGCTCATCTTCAATGGAAATTCAAATTTTTACTCAAATTTGAATAAAAAAAAAAGACAAAAAAACTTAATTTGGTATAGACCTTTCCAATTAAAAAACTCAAATTTAAAGGAAGAGAAACTCAAATTTACATGAGTATAAATTTAAATTTAAATAAGAGTAAAATATGACAATTAAATCTTTAAAGGATGATAAAATTACATAATTAAAGATTTTGGTATATATTTGAGTATTCCTTAATTTAAGTAAAAATTGAGTCTCTCCTTATTTAATAGGAGAGGCTATTTTCACCCCATAAATCTCCATTCCCACCTCATTTAATTTGTCATTATCAAATTACTAATCTCACACCTTCTATATTCATTTCATTAGTAACTAAGCTGATCTCATGCTATATACATCGTTTTTAATAAATAAACTCATTTTATATTTTGTCATAATTAGGGTTTCATTCTCTACCTCTTCTCATTTACTCATAAAAATATTTTTTAAATATGAATTTTTTTATTGAGATACATGTTAGTATTTCTTCTCAATTTAATTATATCTTTGATTTCATGTGTTGTTATATAAATTTTCATTATTTTCGTTATGTTTTGGTTTCTTTGTCAAGGTTCATAATTTTTATTTTGAATTTATATGTATGTATATATATGTATAATTTTAGATAATTTTTTCTTTATTATCTTGATCAATTTTGTGCGCGTGCTTGATTTTTATTTTTTATTTTTTATATTCAATTTTGCGTCTTGTAGTTTGACTTGTTTCTTTAATCTTTACTTGATTTTTTTCTTATTTCGTTCTTTTATTTTTTCTTATTTCAACATGCTTAATTTTTTTTTATTTGTTTTATTTCTGGTTCTTTTTTTTTTTCTTATTTTGTAAATATATTTTATGCATTCAAACTAATTGCCTTCTTTCATTTTTTTTTCTTACAATCACTTCTTTCATTAAAGGGATGAGTTTAGTAGTTTTAAAATAAGAAATTGAAAGGGGTTGGAAATGGAGATTTATGAGGTGAGAATTGATAGGAAAAAGGTTTTACCAAATTTAAATTTGGGTTTAAATTTTCACCCCAAAGATTAAAAAAATTTAATTTATACCTTCAAAAATTAATTATTTCAAATTAAACTCTCAATTAAATTAATTAGTAGTAATGTGATCTTAACCATAATATTCATTGCGATTTTCATTAAATTGTCAGCCACGTTAAATACAAGTGATGACTTTTGTTAGATTACAACACTTCTCATTTTCACGTGCATCTCACGTATTTATCAATCCAATAAAACTCTCATGTACATTTTGATTATGATTGTAATTTTTGTCAAATTGATAGCCACGTAAAATGCACGTGATATTTTGTTAGATTATGACCTTTCCCTTTTTCATGTACGTCTCAAGTGGATGTCAATTTGATGAAAATCGCAAATGACGTTATGATTGTGGCTACATTGCTACCAATTAATTTATTTAAAAGTATAGTTTAAAATAATTAATATTCGAGGGTACAAATTAAAATTTATTTAATATTTCGGGCTGCAAAATGCCATTTGCCCTTAAATATGGGTAACGATCGGAGATGCTCGGTCTCCGTTCTCTATTCTCCATTCACCAGTGCCCCACCGCCGATGAAGCCACAGAGACACACTACAGGCGACGCCATCCCAGATCCAAGTCTACCCTCTCTCTCTCTCTCTGGTCTTCATATCTATGTTTCTCTTTCTGTCCTCTCTCTCTTTCTTCTCTCTCTGCAGGACACACACATATAACACTCGTACGCAGCACACACACCCACACACACACACAGCGCTCACACAGCACACGCACACGCACACGCACACCACCCCTGGCACAGCACTCGACCACTCTCTGCTCCTCATCCAGCAAGACCCACTGGCTAGCTCATCCAGTGCCCATAACCGCCTACTTCCTCCTCTTCACCCACTGCCACAATCTCATAATTTTGCCCTTTTCCCAAACCATATCCACCAACGCCACACCCAAAAGGGTCCTTTCTCCACCAACCGCACCCACCACATGTTCGATGAAGTTTATCACTGAGCTATGGAATCTCTGATCCGAAAAATACCCACTGTGATCTTCAGCAATTCGAAANTATTCAATTTTGCGTCTTGTAGTTTGACTTGTTTCTTTAATCTTTACTTGATTTTTTTTTATTTCGTTCTTTTATTTTTTCTTATTTCAACATGCTTAATTTTTTTTTATTTGTTTCATTTCTGGTTCTNGTTTTTTTTTTTTGGGTTAGAATTTGAGTCTCATGCTTGGATTCTCTGTAGTGCGGGCTCGAGTCTCTGGTCCAAGAACACGTATTTTGTTCCATTTAGGTGATAAAGCTGGAGTACAATCTCTGTAACAAATCTGGGTGAAATTTTTGTGTGAAATCTTAATGAAATGTGAAGAGTGGGATGTTAAAATGAGCTTGGCGAGTACATGTTGCTGAGGCAAGAAAAGAGCTGATAACAATGATTGTCCTACTTTCTACCTTTTATTTGTGATCCATAATGCCTGTGTTCTATTGATAATTGAGTAGTGAGAGCATTATAGAATTTTCATTTTAGGAATTTCTATCTATTTGGGGTGTCGGAATTTTTCTTATCAATCAGAGCATGAAGCAGCAATTTTCATGAGTTGTTTTTTTTCCCTTACCCCTTGCCCTTGCACTAAAATTAGTTTCACTGGTTGGGAATTTTATTTGTAGTATGTCTGTCAACGCCTTTGCTATAATAGGCAATTGTTTATGTGTTTGCGTGGATCACCATTACTCTTGATTGATGGTTATTCAATGCAATAGCATGATGCTTGATTTTGGTTGAGGAAATTTAAGGAGGTTGTGACTGAGTTTTTCAGTCTTATAATTGGTGTGAAAGGAAGTGCTAGCATTGAAGTGATGTGATGGTGGAGCTTTTGTCATGAATGGTGTGTGAACTGACTTTAACTTCTTTAACTTAGAAAACGATTTTTATTTGGGTTAGTGGAATAAATTTTTGATTAAAACTAAGTTAACACGGCTCATTGTCTTGGATTCTGTGATTCTAACTACATTTCAATTTGTATCATATGACCAGGTGTGCACTTTAGTGATGGTAAATGAGTCAATTTGAAATGGGAATTTTTTTTTTTGTTGTAGTAATAACTAGCAATTGGCAATATCTTATAAGAATTTACTGGAATATTTATTTGTATGTCACATGCGCTGTGTATGATGAAATGTTTCGATGCACCCTTTATGTGTGATGAAATTTGAAATGTTTTGACAATTTTTTGTGTTATACGATGCCTTTAAGTATGGTTGCATTGTTGGACCCTCGATCGATAATTGTTCGGTCTTAGTTGTCATGCAATGGTGTGTCCGTTCTGTATAGCTGGGTTGACTTATTGGTGTTTAATTGACTGTAGGACCTGCCTTTCAAGAAGGAGAGAGATAACACACTTTAGTTCCTTGCAAAACATGATCGCAAAGACGACGGCTTTAATAATTAAGTTCGTACACAGAAGAAATCAATAAACCAAGGTCTGTTTTGATTGCATGCTATATTTTCTATTTTATATATGGTGCTTTTACATATGTAGGATAAAGCTGAAAATCAATTGATGGGGTTGGCGGGATTGCTGCAGCTATGAGTTGACTCCAGAAGCATTACAACACCTTGAGGTAGTAGTGACATTTATGATTCATTGGATTAAATGGAAAAATGAGACTTTTTTTGGGTTTGCAGAGTTATTAAATTTACATTTGGATAATATGTTTTTTATTTTAGTGAAAATTGCTTAATTCCCATTATTTTCTGTGCAATAGAAAGTGTGAGGATTTGTGTGAATGTTACGGGGTCCTCATTTTAGAGGAAGCTTTTCCTTTTTTTTTTTTTAAATTTCTTGGGACTAGAAACTTATACGATGTCTTTAATGCATTATGTCACTTTCCTCTTACTAATGCTCATTTCTTTTTTGTTACGCAGTGTCTTTAAACATGGCCACATGTCTAGTCTATCTATAATCTTTTCGATTTTTGTGCCAAAACTGGAGGTGGCCAATGGCTTGAAGTCCCCAATCGCTCTTTTGTGCATGTGTTTATGTCACAATCGCTTCATTGATTAATGGGTTTGCAGAAAGAAAAGCTTATCCACAATCCTGAAAATGAAGACCTAGAGGTTTCCGATCAGTCCATTTCTCCTCACAACTTCCAAACCCTAATTTCTGCTGTTGCATCTTCGGAGGTACTTTATGTTTACATTCTTATTNCAGTCCATTTCTCCTCACAACTTCCAAACCCTAATTTCTGCTGTTGCATCTTCGGAGGTACTTGTGCCTGTGTTTTCAGCTTCTTTGATTTAAAGGAAGACTTAAAATTATAAAATATTGAAAAAGGAAATNTATATATATATATATATATTCTCTCATCTATACTTGTGCCTGTGTTTTCAGCTTCTTTGATTTAAAGGAAGACTTAAAATTATAAAATATTGAAAAAGGAAATTGGATCGAAGTGACTTAATGAGGTTCCTGGATGGAAATTAAAAAAAAGGGTCTGTGAGAAATGGTTGTGGTAGTTGCAAGGAATCAATGTATTTTGGATTTTCTTAGTAATATTGTCTTCTTTGTTGTATTTTGCTTTCGGGATCTCCTAATCATTTTTCCACTTTTGTTATCTCGCTTATGTTTTTGGAAACAAATTTAAACAGCTATAAATGTTCTGTTGGAATAAAAAATTGTTTGTTGTACATTATCTGAGAGCTTTTTAACATGAACTAGTTATGGATTATTGTTTTTTTTTAGTTGGTTTTCTGCAAATAATAGGATATTAGTGGGTACTCAAAGTTTTTGTAAACTATATGGGTGAAGAGATTAACCAATTAATGTACAAGTCTGGATCTTTGTAGCTTCTGTGGAATTTGCACTTATGAATGTGTTTTGCTCATTTCTACTATGATTCTCTGTTCTAATTTGGTTCTAATGTTAATTGTTAAATCTCAGGGTCTACAGCTACCACTGTTGAGAACGTTGCATTATCTGCTCATCCACCTGTCTTCAAACCAACAACGGAGTGCAAACTATGGTGATCATTTGGATGACTTGGACATGGAAATTGGTCGGTATGGAATCAGGGTGGCATTCAAACAAATATGTAAGCTCTCCAGTATCCTTTTCAAAGAGCTTTCTAAGAGATTTAATAAGTTCTTTGCTACTTTAAGTGATGTTTCTACAAGGAGTGCTCTTGGACAAGCGGGCTTGCCCTTGGATATGAGGATTGCTGCTGAAACGGTAAATTTGCTATTAAGATGTTGTATGGTCATCTTGAATTTGCTTGTGCCCCAACAATACCTTCTTCTGGAAAATGGCAAAGTTCTTCTGGAAATTCTCAGAAAGCTAGGCTCACTGGATTTAGTTAGAACACAAGACAAAGATACCATCAGCTTTGAGAAGTCAGTTTCTCATGGATGCACATATATTGACAAAGGCTGCACCACCTCCGTCAGAGAAGACTTTGTTGCCTCCCTGCATTTCTTGGAGCCTTCTGATCCACACCGTCCTTTTCTATGTGCAATGCTTGAGGTAATTCAACAATTACAACCTTATCTTTATTAATATGTGAAGCCTGATTCTCCTATTGGTGTAGAAGCCATAAGTTAACATTTGTTAAAGGGACTCCGAAACCTTCTGCCAAACATGATTATAAACAGGGGAACATCAGTTTGTGTATAACCATATATTACTTCCTATGACCAATGAGATATTTTATGGAGATCACTGGCCAGAAAGCCTACATTCAATCGAAGCCATCGGGAGGAGACATGTGTCTAGACTTCCTAACTTCTGAAATAAGGGAGTATTTGGCCTCCTCATGCGGCAACAGATTGCAATTGCGGTTTGCTATATCAAAGTTACGAGAAATGAAAGCTAATAGAAGCTAAACTGAGTCCAGATTGATATTTAGAAACTTAGTTCGGAAGTGACACTTGTTGAAGGTTTAGTAACCATTAGGCATCTGTCAAAACAAATTCTGATAACTCAATCTCCAGCCAATTGGCAACTGCATCATATGTTTGATTGGCAAAGATTTTAGCAGAGAAGGCTCTTGTCTTCTATCAGTCTGCCTCATTCAAAGTTGGTTGACGTTTAATAGTTGTCAATACATGAAAAAAACATAAATTTCCTCCTGATATTTGTCTTTCAATTTATATTGATTTATAAGAGATATTCCTTTGGTGATGGATCATGTAATGAAGCATATTAAAACAGCACCTGCTTTCAGCTATATGTGAGAATAAAATTGGTTACAGAGCAAAATGTTTGTTAATAATATCTAATTTTCCTTCTAGGCTTTTTGTATTCGATGTCTCCAAAATTAAGGAACTTTGACTATCAAATTTGATCATGTGGAATGTTGGATTGAATTTGCAAGATTCATATTGTTGCCCGGTTGGTTAAATGTTGTGAGCGAGAATATTAATTCACTATGCTTAACAATACTTCCTGGAGACTTCTTGGTTAAACATGCTATTGCTTTGGCGGCACTCTTAAATGGACTTTTGAGTCTAAGAAGTCCGTTTAGAGAAGTTGGACCAGTTTGGTGAGTGATTAGAATTGGACTTATATTGGACACGCTTATCCTGAATGCCCATTCCACAGAAGCTGTCTATCAAAGGTTCTCAAAACAGCCTTCAAACGACTTCTCCCGAAGTCGACCCATTTAAGTGAGAAAACAGTAGTTCCCAATATTAGCCTATTTCAGCTGTCTCAATGTCCATTTTATCCCCAGTTTAAAGTAAAGCTCCTGCGTCTCTATTGTAACATCGATTCAGTGACTCCAATGCTGACGCCATAGGTAGAGCTTCTCAATGTGATGCATGCACTACAAACAACCACCTCTTCTTGATACCACTCCAACAACATTAGTCCCAAGANCCCCAGTTTAAAGTAAAGCTCCTGCGTCTCTATTGTAACATCGATTCAGTGACTCCATTGCTGACGCCATAGGTAGAGCTTCTCAATGTGATGCATGCACTACAAACAACCACCTCTTCTTGATACCCACTCCAACAACATTAGTCCCAAGGTGTGGGAGGAATTTGAGATTAGCTTGAGAGGCACTTGTTTTACGAGGTGGATATGCATTTTTGCTAGAAATTTGTGATGAGAGTGGTGTGGAGGATTGATTGACCATGAGGGGGTGTGTGTATGAGAGAGAGAGAGAGAGAGAGAGAGAGAGAGGATTTGTCGGCCTTGAAAGAAGAGGCAGAGATGAAAACCATTCAGTGAAGAGGAAGACGTAAGACAATAGAAAAGAAGAAGAGATACCAAATACTTGCAATGAATCGGTGAAGAAACATACAATATTCTCCACAGGACACAAGTTTTATTATATCATACTTTCTAATTTAAATAGGGGATTACTTTCTAATTTAAATAGGGGATTACATCAATATTTATAGGTTAAGTCTCAAAATAAAAAACTCTCCTACTAAAATTCTAAGAGTTTTATAATCAAACTCTTAAAANTTTTATTATATCATACTTTCTAATTTAAATAGGGGATTACTTTCTAATTTAAATAGGAGATTACGTCAATATTTATAGGTTAAGTCTCAAAATAAAAAACTCTCCTACTAAAATTCTAAGAGTTTTATAATCAAACTCTTAAATCTCCTACTCTTAGTCAAACAAGCACTCCTAAATTAAATAATGATAGTGTTAAGATTGGAAGATTAACATAATATTAGAGACAATATTTAGGGAGAAACAGAGAGAGGTTAAAAACTTAACCTAACTCTCATACATCACTTGTATTTATAGTTAACTCACTATAATAAGAATTACACATACACCTTTTTACTATTAATAATTTACACATACTATCCTACTATTCTTAACACTCCCCCTCAAGGTGGACTATATATATCATATAATCCAAGTTTGGAACAAATCGCTGTAAGACATGTACGACTCAATGTTTTGATAAACATATCTGCAAGCTGATCTTCAAATTTCACAAATGGAGTTGTAATCTTCCCATCTACAATCTCTTGTCCAGAATAAAGTGACAATCAACCTTAATATGCTTGGTTCTCTTGTGAAACACCGGATTGGTAGCGATATGGATAGCTGCCTGGTTGTCACAGAACAACTGTAAAGGAGGTTGAATTGGAAACCTAATTTCTTGGAGGAAGTNCCTTAATATGCTTGGTTCTCTTGTGAAACACCGGATTGGTAGCGATATGGATAGCTGTCTGGTTGTCACAGAACAACTGTAAAGGAGGTTGAATTGGAAACCTAATTTCTTGGAGGAAGTGTAGTAGCCAAGTAAGTCACTCGTCGTATGCGCTATTGCCCTATACTCAACCTCAGCACTGAATCTTGCTACTACGGATTGTTTCTTACTCTTCCATGGGACAACGTTACCTCCTAAGAAAGTACAATAACCAATGGCTGATCTCTGATCAGAAGGAGAGTTAGCCCAATCAGCATCTGAGAAATCTTCCACTCTAAGATGTCTATTAGCTCGATATAACAGTCCAAGTCCAGGAGCTCGTTTGTGATATCACAGAATACGAGTAACTGTCTCCCAATATGGTACTCTAGGACACCCCATGAACTGACTTACTATACTGACTGCATAGGAAATTTCCGGTCGAGTAATAGTGAGATAATTGAGCTTCCCAACCAATCTGCGATACCGACCCGGATTCTCAAATAGTGCACCATCATCCATCAAAAGTTTCTGATTCGAATCTATAAGAACATCAATAGGTGTGTCACCTAGCAAACCTGCTTCCTCTAGTATGTCAAGTACATATTTCCTCTANCCACTCTAAGATGTCTATTAGCTCGATATAACAGTCCAAGTCCAGGAGCTCGTTTGTGATATCACAGAATACGAGTAACTGTCTCCCAATATGGTACTCTAGGACACCCCATGAACTGACTTACTATACTGACTGCATAGGAAATTTCCGGTCGAGTAATAGTGAGATAATTGAGCTTCCCAACCAATCTGCGATACCGACTCGGATTCTCAAATAGTGCACCATCATCCATCAAAAGTTTCTGATTCGAATCCATAAGAACATCAATAGGTGTGTCACCTAGCAAACCTGCTTCCTCTAGTATGTCAAGTACATATTTCCTCTAGGATAAACAAATACTCTATTTAGATCGAGCCACCTCAATATCCAAGAAATACTTGAGTTTTTTCAAATCCTTCGTATGAAATCGATTTTTTACTTGACAATCTCCTCAAAATCATTTTCAGTAATCATAATATCATCTGNCTCAATATCCAAGAAATACTTGAGTTTTTTCAAATCCTTCGTATGAAATCGATTTTTAACTTGACAATCCCCTCAAAATCATTTCCAGTAATCATAATATCATCTACATAGATCACCAATAGAACATATCCAACATCTGTTTGTCTATGAAACACAAAATGATCTGTCTGACATCGAAGAAGACCAAACTCTAAAACTGCATCTAAAAACTTACCAAACCATGCCCTCGGTGACTGCTTCAAACCATACAAAGATTTCTTTAACCGACATATACTCTTACCATACTCCCCCTGAGCAGTAAACCCAGGTGGCTGCTCTATGTATAACTCTTCAACCAAGTCACCATGTAGGAAGACATTCTTGACGACTAACTGAAACAAAGACCAATCAAGATTAGCAGCCAAAGAAATCAAGATACAAACCGAGGAAATTTTGGCAACAGGAAAGAAAGTCTTTTCATAATCAACACCATAAGTTTGAGTAAAGTCCTTTGCAACAAGCCGGGCTTTGAGACGCTCTACAGAACCATCCGGATGAAATTTAACAGCATACACCCAACGACAACCAACGGTTTGTTTATCAGGAGGTAAATGAATGAGATCNTAAGTTTGAGTAAAGTCCTTTGCAACAAGCCGGGCTTTGAGACGCTCCACAGAACCATCCGGATGAAATTTAACAGCATACACCCAACGACAACCAACGGTTCGTTTATCAGGAGGTAAATGAATGAGATCCCAAGTTCCGTTATGATGTAAGGCATCCATTTCCTTCTCCATAGCTTTTCTCCAACTCGGATCCGATAATGCATCCTGTAAATATTTAGGAATAGATATAGTAGATAATTTGGAAGTAAAATAAGAGAAGGTAGGAGATAAGGCATCATATGAAATAAAATGAGCAATGAAATGATTAGTAACGCACGAACGAGTACCTTTTCGAAGAGAAATAGGTAAAAAGTCTAAATTACCTGATGTACCAGGATTAGAAGGCGACAAGGAAGACGGTACGGGCACCTAAGTCGATGGGCGAGGACAGCANAGGTAAAAAGTCTAAATTACCTGATGTACAGGATCAGAAGGCGACACGGAAGACAGTACGGGCACCTCAGTCGATGGGCGAAGACGGCGAGAGTAGACACGGAGAGGTAAAGTAGATGGTAATACAGTGGGTAACGGAATATCTGAAGATGAGGAAAGAGATGGTGGTACAAGAGATGATCCAAAGGCTGAGAAGGTGTTGAAAAATATGGAACAAATTCCTCAAACGTGACATCGACACTAGTAAAGTATTGNTGAAGATGAGGAAAGAGATGGTGGTACAAGAGATGATCCAAAGGCTGAGAAGGTGTTGGAAAATATGGAACAAATTCCTCAAACGTGACATCGGCACTAGTAAAGTATTGGCGCAGAGAAGGACTGTAGCAACGATACCCCTTCTGCGTGCGGGAGTAACCAAGAAATACACATTTGGTAGCTCGAGGGTCAAGTTTGTCGAACCTAGGACCGAGACTGTGAATATAATAGACACATCCAAAAGCCTTAGGAGTCNACTAGTAAAGTATTGGCGCAGAGAAGGACTGTAGCAACGATACCCCTTCTGCGTGCGGGAGTAACCAAGAAATACACATTTGGTAGCTCGAGGGT